ATAGTAGACACAGCACGGAAGAGAACCAAAAACGTGCACATACCGACAGGATTTGGGTATAGCCAAAACGCGGGCACCTAACCTTATCCCAGAATGACAGAAAATTCACCGGCATGTTTACGTTTAGCAACTGCCGTTACGTGGCTCCACGTGGTTCAACACAGAGGCGAGTACTGCTACCAACCCCATAAAAGTGAAACGTTGCCAAGTTTCAATCGTATTTAATATAATCGACGGAAAGTTATTAAAAAATCGATAGCTTATATAATTGTCAAGGGAGCTACCAGTAAGAATCATTATTTCATTCTATCAACGGCAAAACATATATTCATGCCATTTTTATATTGAAATAATTAGCAATACTACAAGTTTTCAAGTTGGCATTGGCAAAAAAGTGTTTCGTTTTTAGCTAATTAAAATATAAAGATGCATAATATGATACTTTTACTATACGTTTTATGCAATAGCAGCGTATGGAGAATAAAATGATACCTAATACAGATTTTTTAATGACCTAATAAAAAACTTTTTTCTAAACCGTCAATTGACTCAACTGGATCGCTTCAACCTCCTTAAATTAATGATTGAGGTATATAATCGCTCATATACGCGGATGACATATAATTTTTATCATTCGGTCATTAGAACTTCTGCATATAAATTGTATCGTATATATAATTTGTCAGGAAGTTTCCATCTTCGTTTCTACCAGTGTCGCACTATGAATTTACTCGATGCGAGAAAGGACGAGCACTTGGCGCGCTAGAAAGAAGTTTCGTGTTCGAGAAAACTTTAAAAGTACAAAATCAGGAGTGATCGTTAAATGAGGAAATGTACTGCTTCAATAATTTTAAATCTCACCCCGAATGTCTGCAGAAAATGCGACGATCGAAGTGTGACGTTTTTCATTCCCGCATACGCGAGTGCGCACGGTTAACTTACTGATTTCAGAAACTGGGTCATCAGTTCCAGAATCGGGTTTAATATGTGAATAATGTTCAAAAATACATCTACGATATCAGATTTTACGAGTCGAGCTCGAATTGCGTCGGATCGGAATTAATCAAAAGCGGAAATGCATTGATAAAAAAATTTAATGAAATTACAATTGACAAACGATCGCAGCCGATTTTGCATATTAGATCCGACATCGTTCGACTTTTAAAATTGTTGTCGATCGCGATATGAGTTTATTCTGAAAACGTTACATGAGCACAGGAGCGACAGTGATATAGGAGCAATATATATCGTTCTTCGTTGTATCAAAATGATACAACTTAGCTATCTTCGCTAAGAAAAGAAAGTAATTCATAGTGACATTTCGTCGCTATTCTTATATGAGATCAGTCAAGTGATTCCTACTGAGTAATGCTTCCTGTATTTTAAATTCGCGCGTCTTTCCGCGGTATCGTTTCGCCCGCGCCCCTTTATCGTTTCTCGTCATCGCGGTTCATCACCCGCAGAACGTCAAATTTTATTTTCGGGCCTGGCTTTCAAGACGCCCCCAACGGCAACGGCACCCGGTTCATCATGCGCCGCGCGCTTCACTTCAGCAGGATATTCCAATTCGTGATAGAGATGCGCCTCGGCGTATGAAGGAGCAGAGGAAAGCATCGGCATTCCGTACTTTCGAGACTACTTTTCTCACCGTGCATGATCGACACACCAATACCTATCCGCGCCGTTTACAATACCGCCGCGATATTCCCCGTCATTCAGTTTTACGTCCCGAATCCCGCGCGCATCTGTCTTATGAAGCGATCTATGATTCGCAATTCCTAACAGAAGTCACATTTAGGCGTGATCGATAAGACAATGGCTTATGTGTTCGACATCGCGAGAGGCAAGTGTCTCGGAAATTGTTTGAAATATTAAAATAAAACCCTCTAGATCGTCCCCTTCCTGAAAAGATTTACAAGAAATAAAAACTGTTTCGAATTGTAGATGAGAGTTTCTCTATCGCTGAGATGCTTCGTAAAACAGTCATATTTGCGCGTAATTCGTAAACTCTTTATTTTCTCTTACTCTTTTTTATATGTTCTCTCGCATTATATCTTTTCTTTCGATTGCAACCAGACGTAAACGCATAAATTTTTTTTCTCAATATCGATAGATTTCTATCAATGCAAAATGGAGAAAAAAAATGAGAGAAGTTTATACACACAAAATACCTGACCAGATAATTGCTGTTTTCTAAAATATATATATAATCGTCAATATACACATGTGCTATTTTTTCTATATAATATACAATCAGTTATATTCAGTTTCTTTTCGTTGTATTAAAATATCAATAATAAAAATTTCATTAAAAAGCGCCTACTATCTTTTTATTTACTTTGTAAGAAACTTTATAGGAATTGTATATAAAATAATTATAAGATATATATGTGTAGCTTTGAAAAGATTAAAAAATTGGTCAATGTAGAGATAAAATTATACTTTCAAAAATAAAAAAATTTTTTAAACGTGATTGAGAATAAAATTCCATCCTTTTAGATAAATACGAGCATTTTAAATAGGCAGAATTGAAATAAACGCGATATGTCGATACGAATTTATTCGCTTTTCCCAATTCCGCGCATTGTAATTTTGCCTTATATTCGCGATAAATCGCCAACAGTACTCAATTTAATTATTAATCATATGCGTTCCTCGATATGGCGATTAAGATAAAATCAGACCAATTTTGGATAGTTGTCCGATATCAACGACATCCAAGATGTATACACGTACGCGTGTAACTTCTCGCTCGTGCGATTACGACAACGCGGTGACATTCATCCCCTGGCCGTTGATATCAACGTTGGTACATAGAAAATCCATTATACTAAATCGACACAGATGTAACTTGCTAATATCGATGGCAGATGTACTGGCAATATTGGATTGCGGCACACTCGTTATAATGGGATTTACATTACGTGAGTGTGGTTATGATTGAATATGATGTACATCCGACGAACGGATCAACAAGTCACCAATGGCACCGAATATTAATCGAGAAGATAGAATTTATAACGTCCGCGCCAATAGCGCGTTATGCATTTAAATTAATCCCTTATTATGACCCACCCGAATATATCGCGTTATTGTGCAACCTAATCGCACGCCAAAGCTCGATTCGTCACAACGTGAAGGAAGAGCACTAATAAATTCATAATCGTAAATTAACGTAAAACAAATTAATTATATTGTAAATAAATTATTTATGTAAGTACACGTGCTTTGTAGAAAATAAAAGAAAATTGATAAAAATCAATTTCACACATATTATTAGTTTCGTCTTAAGAATGATAAAATAATAAATCAATCAATGAAATTTCATATTTTAAAAAAGGTTATCGGACAGTTTAACAATTAATTAAATCTGGGACGATTTATATAGATGTTTCCTTGTTATATTTCACGGAAAAAATATTTACTCGATTTGATATCATTTTAGTTTGTTTTAAATATTGATAAATAAAATGAAGTTGTTAATAAATATAAATGAGCTACTATAATTGGCAAAAAGATTAGGATTTTTTTAAATTTGTGCGTTATAAAAGTAAATATAATTAGTAATAATTATTTAGTTTTTTATTTATACTTATATGATACATACATTAAAAAAATAAATTCTTTCTGAGTATTATTTTCTTCTATAACCTTATATGCATATATAATTCTATAGGTTTAATATGTAATTCTAGAAGAATATTGAGAAACTACCTGCAGGCTACAAATACAATTCAAAGAATATTTAGAAAAAGAAAAGAAGGGAAAATAATAAAACTTTATCTCTATTTCGCATAATGCACCGCGTGCAAAATTTACAGAATAGTTATATAGAGCACATTTTGCTATTCTGTTAAAAAATATTATTGTGAGATATCTCAGTTGTCTATAAAATTCAGTTCGGATAATCTCGAAAGCATAAATAAAAAATGTAATAAAGAATATATTTCACTGGTAAATTAAAAAAAAAATGATAAAAAGTGATAATGTGTGAATGATAAAAGGATTTCTGTGAATAATAAATTACCTATACATTTGGTAGAAATATTATTCCACTTTCTGCCAAGCATTCTCTACACACAGATAAACAATACTATAATACAAATTTTTTTTTAGAAAACATGATAGAAAATACTATAAGGATATGTTATATTAATAATATCAATTAGACAGTTTTATATAAAATACATTTATATCTAATAGTTAAACTTTTTAATTTATTGTTCAAGTAGCAAAAAATACAAAAAAAAGGAAAAATAGAATAAATTGTGACAAATAAGACATTGACAGTTTTACAATATAAAGCTTTTATTTAATTTTAATTTTCCTCATGGTAATCATTGCATAAGCACTGAAAATCTGAGCAAGATATTTGTGTCTTATATACATTTATGTCATAGCTGTTTAATTGATATTATTAATATAACATATCTTTATAGTATTTTCTATCATGTTTCCTAAAAAAAAAAATTGTATTTTATCTGTGTGTAGAGAATGCTCGGCAGAAAGTGGAATAATATTTCTACTAAATATATAGGTAATTTATTATTCACAGAAATCCTTTTTATCATTCACACATTATCACTTTTTATCATTTTTTAAATCTACCGGTGAAATATATTCTCTATTACATTTTTTATTTATGCTTACAAGATTATCCGAACTGAATTTTAGACAACCGAGATATCTCACAATAATATTTTCTAACAGAATAGCAAAATGTGCTCGATATAACTATTCTGTGAATTTTGCACGCGGTGCATTCTTACACAATAAATCGACCAATACTTACACCCTATATATTATAAACTTCCAGAATTATATATTGAATCTAATTTTGAAATAAATAACCTATTCATTTTAAGGCAATGGATTTTTGAAGTGTTATATTTATTTATAGTATTATATATTCTTTCTTTGATGCATATATTTATATACACACATTTTATACAAACATACCAGATATATATTATATACAATTTATCTTCACAGATCTATTACCTCAATTTAATAGAAAATAATTTACGACTCACCCGATATGATGACGCAACAGCGGCAGTTGCTATGCAAACTGTGTCGAAAACTGCAAAACACAAATGTATTTGAATTAGAACAGTCCTCGGAATAATTGCTATTTCAAAAAATAATTATCACGGGCATTAAATAATTATTTCCGAAAAAGAGTTTTTCTTAAGTATACAAGCTTTTGGGAACTTTCCCAGCAATAAGCGACACAAGTCGACACAAGTGTCGTTTTGTCTCTGTTACTCATTGCCAAAAAAGAAAGAATAGTTGCTTTCCATTTACATCAAAACTCAGATAATTCTCACTTGTGACGTCACAACTCATGCACGTTCTTTTTGCATGCTGGCAAGTGAGATTCAACTGAGTTTTTATCCACAATCGAGACCAATTGTGCTTTAATGAATGTAATAAACTCACATTAACAGTGAGACTATGGACCTGTACTACTATGCGTTAGCTTTGTCATCAAAATAAGCAGGTAAATACAAAATGACTCAGATCACTTGAGTGTAAATGAAAAGCAACTAATATATAAAACGACGTTTGTGTCGATTTGCTGGAAAGCTCCTTTTATAAAATTTCATAATGAACACAAATAGAGAAAATGGTAAATTACTCACCCCACGGTTTCTCCGCCGTCGCGTCGCCCGATGCCTTCCCGGACCTCCGTCTTCTCCCTTGTTCCTTTGTTAAGTAAGTACAGCTTCTTCGTGGTACCTACACAATATTCACTCGCTGCTGAAACACGATAAATTGTGATCGCGCGCGCACTAATTATATCAGAATACAATGATCGCGCGGCACTTTGCACGGTACTTCCGATGTTAATCGCACGCGACACGCACTTTATTAAATGTATTCCGACGGAAGAAATTACAATACATGACGTTACGATTCGCATTCGACACTCGTGGCGTTTCGCGATATTCCACTAACCGAAAGATTTGTATGAAACACAGGAAGAATGAAGAAATAAGCGAAATGTAAAGGAGGGTCCACATTATCGAGCAAAACCGCGAGCCGAACTTCGCCGCGAACCGATCATGCGTCCACATTATCGAGCCGAACCGCGAGCCGAACTTCGTTGCGAGCCGATCATGCGTCCACATTGTCGAGCCGACGGGCTCGCACGAGGCTCGCGAACCTCGAATCGAACATCAGTGCGAACCATCGCGTACTCAGTCCACGAATCTGCAAGGATTTTGATGATACGCGGTTTGGCTCGCAGTGTCCCACCAAAAGTCGGTATTTCGACGAAACATCAAAAGATGCTTTTTATGATCAGATTATACGCTTTGTCGGGTGGTAGACTGGTAGTTAAGCTTCGATCTAGACAAATAATGACAAAAAACAAAAAATGAACTATGAAAGAAAACGTGAGTAATTGCCCAGTCGCTGTATTTGATTCTATCCACGTATGTGCAGTCTACACGACTACTGATAGACAAAATGGAATGGTCTGATAAAAAATGTTTAAAATTAAATAGTGATTATAAGCAGAAAAGATTATTATATACGGGACGCTAAAAATCCCGAACATTATAACAATTAAAAAAATGCCATGCATATTTATATTTACAATCGTATTTTTAACGTTGCAATATAAATTATAAATTTATTGCGTATTTATCATAGATTTAGAGTATGTTTATGCAATATTAAATATAGTTGGTACCACTCTAAATATAGTTTTATGGTTTAAAAAGGAATTAAGCTTTGAATACAAGAAAATAATAAAAGCACGCATATGTATACACATATTTAGTCGTCTTTTCCTGTTCTCATACTTTTTTTATAAGAAGAAATAAGTAAAGAACTCGAATGTGATAGTGACATGTGCAAAAAAAAGATGACGACATTATTGGCATCTCTGCAAAGAGAAAAAGCAAAAATAAAAAAAGTATGGAAACAGGAAAAGGTGAGTGAATATATGTATATGTGCTTTTATTATTTTCCTGTATTCAAAACTTAATTCCTTTTCAAACCATAAAACAAAATTTAGAATTAATATTGCATAAACATACTCTAAACCTGTGATAAATACGCAATAAATTTATAATATATATATTGCAATGTTAAAAAATACGATTGTAAATATAAATATGCATTTTGCATACATGTATTAAGAATTTATATAAATTTTATTATAAATTTCAATACGAGATTTGACTTCAAAAAATTTTAACTCATGTTCGCGGTTCGCGATGGAGTTCGATTTGAGGTTCGTCTGCAAGTTCTGCTCGAGGCTCGGTTCGGGACTCGGTTCGCGGTTTGGCTCGATAATGTGGACCCTGCTTAAGCCTGCGAGGTAATAGCGCGCGGGAACGCGGGAAGGAAAATGACGACTTGAACTCGACAAACTTCGGTTAGGGTCGGAAACATTCGGACGCGCGACAGCACACGCACACGGACGTAGTTGCCGCTTTGGTGTGTGCGTGCGACGATCACGCACGCGATCACGCCGTGTGTTCTCGAGCGTCCGTCTAGTCCGAACGTTTCCGAGTCTAAACGAAATTTGTGAAATTCAGTTCGTGATTTCCCCTCCTGCGTTCATCTTATCCACTTTCCCCCTTGTCCATACAGTATATAGCAGCTTACTTTCCGTTTATTTCTTCCTAAATATATGGTCCAAAAGACCAAAAGTCGATATCTGATTATATTTTCACGCGAGACGCATAGACAACTAAATCGAGCCAATGACTAATAATCAGGATACGATAAATAGTTCCAAAAAATGCGGTCGAGATTTGATACATTTACTCGGCAAAAGGCAAAAGACTCAAAGAGCAAGAAATAAATCCGAATCCAAGCGTGAGAAATGTCATAAGATAATTGTTGCTCGCTAAATTTCTCATTGGAACAATTATGACAATTTTGTTTCTACTTACTTCGATTTTTATTTCGGAGAATAAGGGCCACTTCGACCAAGCTCCGATTAACTTAATCGTTGATTAGTCATTTGTCAATCTGCTTCATGAGCAAATGCGATTGGTCATTTCCAATGGACTAATCAACGATTAAGTTAATCGGAGCTTGGTCGAAGTGGCCCTAAATAAATCGAGGTGTCCTGCTTCAATAAACAGCCGTGTCGCCTCGATATTCGTTAATTGTAAGAATTATAATCAACGCCGCGGAACAATAATTGTTAAACGTTTCGATAATCGCGTTTCTATAAAAGTATCTAAAAGACAATACACACGCAGAGCGATTTCACGCCACTACCTGCTCGCTCGAGTTTCACTGAACAAATGATAGCGCGGCGACCTCGTGTGTAAACATAACGCTCAGTACGGGGTATGTACAACAAATACCAAGGCCGCGCTAGTTGGTTTATGTTCCGAAATATTTAACGTACCGTGCTATGAAATGGAATGTAACAGTGTAAGCCGAATGTTTTCCTCCTTGTATTTCTAACCGATTATTGATAAACGATCGTGGCTCTGTGTTATGTAAACTGAATCCGGCGCGACTCGCGTATTACCTATATACTCTGTGCTCTCAACAGTCTCAACTTCAACTCAATTCGAAAATAGTAAGCGAATTACATTTAAATCGATTCGCAAAACGACATGGGAAAATAATTTAAGCGTTGTTAAAAAATAACTGCCGCCTGTAAGTATATATCATGAGATTTCAATGACGTGAAACCGCGTGGCGCGATGCGATTAATAAAGTCAAGTTACTGTCTAATTAAGAACACGATGGAATTTCGAAAACATCGAAAATTTAGTATTGCGCGCACAATATGTTCCGCGAATGCATAAATCCTGCAAAATACATGTACTAATAAATGATTTATCATCGCTCTCCGTTATTTAAATCATTCGATTCAATAATTCACGTATCTCCGCGCGCTTTCAATTCGAGAATAATAGACGTATTACGTTGAAATTGGGTGCAGAATTTAAAATGCGACGTGAGACATATCTGGATGTGATCTTTAAAGAAACTTATTACGTATTATTTCTCTAAATTATTTCGATTTTTTAAATATAAAATATTATCGCCTAAGATAATGATTAATTTTGCTTGATCGAGAACATTTTGAAAGCTACATTGTTAATCGAGGTTTAATTCAACGACATGCGATAATAATACTTTTTCTCGTTAATAATAACGCGACTATAAATACGAATCTTTAAATAATAAGTTTCTTATTATAATTTATTAATGCTTGCATATTTTAAGTTTATATATAGATACGCTTTTATATATATAGGCATTTTTTTATATTAAACGAATATTTCTATCCGTGAGAATGACTTTGCTCCTTCCAAAAGATACGGCTGAAGATTTGAGACGATCGTAGTACGTTAACCGCTCGTTAAACCGCATACATTTTACGCGCAAGCTTTTGAAGCGTTACCGGTGCCTTCACCGTCGTAAAGCGACCCGTTAAGTCTAGAATCTAACAGAGAATAACTCATGTCGTTAATTATATCGGTAGAAAAGGCTGACTGGCAGGAGAGCGCGCACGGACAAAGAAGACGACCGTCGACGGAAAAAAGAAAGCGAAGGAGGAACTTTGCGCTAGATCTATCTCAATGTCGAAACGTTTATATATACGTATAATTTATATAGACGGATATATGCGCTCGCCATTACATAGAAAGTCTTTTTCTTACCCGAGACAGCTGTCCGAAGATTTGCATAAGCGGCTTTTCATGATAGCCTTATACTTTCCATCGCCGTGGCTCTTTCGTAATTTTGATTAACATCGCAAATTGCGATACGAAAAACCGGTCGAATCCGTCGTAGCTCTGGGATCGAGTTAAACGAATTCTCGCGTTCTTCACTCCGCCCAAAAAGATTTTCCATCTAGAACGTATAATAATATTCGTAAAACGCTTAATGACGTAAATTATTTCCTATATGTTTTCAAAAGTTGCACGGCTGGCAAAAGAAACAAATTTTCTCTTAAAATAAGACTATATTTGATTACGAAGCATGATCACTAATTCCTTAAAGAGTTCTTATAATTAAAATATTAAATAATTATTAATGTTATTGTGATAAACATCACCACATGTCTTAGTGGTCGAATTGGTAAAGACGACTGTCGAATTGTAAATCCAGACTCGAACCCTGGCTGGGGTGATATTTTTCGTAATAAATTCTTTAGTGAATGAATGGATGCTTATTAGCATCATATGTTAAATCAATTATCAATTTAACTTTGTGGGTTTATTGCTTTAAAAATAATCGGCGCGCAGTTCACCGAGTTGGAAAAGGTATACCAAATTTACACAAAAATATTATTATTAGACTACCAAAATCCAGCCCGACTGAAAATGATATCTTCTCTAATTAATTATTAAATATAATATTAAATATAACGATGATTGATCAAACAATTATGATAGATTACTAACTGAAAATGTAGTCAGTGTATAAACGAGAAATGCTTGAGTTATATCTGATGCGTTTCTTATGTTATTAATTAACTTCAGATCATATATCATTTCTGTCAATTGAGGAAAATACATTTAGCTTTCATCACATGCACTGACTGCCATCTTTGTGAAAATAATTAAGGTGAAAACTGAATGTGGTGTTAGCCCTATACGTACATAGGCTTCATACGTATATATACGCGGTATGTAATCTCGAATCCGGCTGAATATATTTGGACCAATGGAATTTCAGATTCCTGCCATTCTTGTCGCTTTGGTTGACATTAAACCGGCGCGTGTCAAATTAATCTGTGATTCGAGATTTAGTTTTCGGAGATCGCGACTAAGTGGGGGATGCCAGGCGCACTTAAATGTTGGTTTTAATCTTGAATTAATTTCCACACGCCGAAGTGACGCGCTTATATAGGTACACGTTTGTCATATCAAGTGAATCTCTCGCGGTAAATGAACCGTATAAACAACTTGAATGTATCGATCGTGTTTGATGTTATTTTGCAATCTGAATTCAAGTCATTCTCAGGTATTTGTATTACGAAAAAACGAATCATCCAATGCCAAAAATTATTTTCAATGTCTGTGTTCGGTTCGGAGTACTGTTAATTTCTCCGGAGGCGAAAAGGCGAATATGAAAACGAGACTCGAAGGGTCGTAATTGTAATAAGGAGGATATAAAGCTCCTTTAGCGAGAATAATGTGATAAATTGACTCACCTCACGCTGGTGTATGTGTGTGCTGGCGTGTGTGCTCCCGAGGGCGGCCCGCACGAGACAGTAAGATGATGTGACTCCGAGGGCGGTTCGCAAGACAGTGAATGCCACGCACTTCCGGACTCGCGCAAGCTGCCGAAAAGCACGCGGGTGAGTATACATGCTCTATTGATTGTTATCAGGATCGTCGATGGCAGCACCGATCGGCGGCGATCGGTGAGGTAATGAGTCTATAGTTATCGATCGATACCGCCTCGCGATCCACCAACGTTTCACTATGATTATATTATCAAATCAAATTGTATAAAGTCATCTATGTTAACAGCAATCGATTTGAAACGACGAAAAGCAAAAAAATATATAACACCTAAATATATTTAATTATTAGATATATATTAAAATATTGTATATTAATTATTATATACTTAATAAAGACGATGCACCAACCCCCTCCCCCCGCCTGAAAAAATATGGTTTAGATTTGGGGCAATTCTCTCGAAACGGCTCTTTATTAATCGTCATTGTTTGTAATTGCTTTATTCTGCATTCAACTAATATAACATCTTAACGAAGAAGTCTAATCGAAGGTATGGACGAATTATCTGAAGGATAGACGAGTACGAGGAAAGAAGAAGAGAAGGATGCGCTCTTGAGAGTTTTCGGGATGAGCGCGAACGAGCGTTTAGGAGGATGGTCTATTATCAGGGCCAATATCCAGGATGCTCGACAACCCTCTTAACGATCTCATCCAACTACTATACCCTTTATCTACCTCATTCTCCTCTTTTCTACTTTCTCTTATCATCCCTCCTGCTTGCACTCGTCCTGGGAACCCTTTCGTCTCCTTCAGTGACAATTACGTTCCACGAGTTTTCTGTTGCAATTCGCAATCGCAAATTGACAAAGAAAATGTCGAAAACGAGACAGCGGCGGTGACGTCTTCGAAACGTTCATATCGTCATTTTGTCTAATTTGTTTCTTAAACAACCGCGTTTGGATTTATCGAGTTTTGAAGGCCTCTTAATTATAAGCGGCGCAACTATCTCGACATTCCGGTTCCTCTAACTTCTAACCCTTGCATTGTCTGTTCATCCCACCCCATTTTCTAGCGGCTATACGCCGCTACCTCGTTCTTTGTCACGTCGCTTTTTTCTCCTTCTTCCGCCGCCCGACGAGTACCGCCGTACTCGTAATAATATCTTTTTTGGTGTTTGCTCGTTACGTCCGCGTCCTTTATTTTCTTAGAGCGGGTATGAAAGACGGCGAGAACGTGACCCCAGCATACGCAAATGCTACAGTCCGCGATAGTTATGTTTACTCTATTCCGTGAAGATTGTTGGACGCTGAATTTAAAAGAGAGTTTGAATTAAATTTAAATATAACAGTGCATTAAAGCATTAAAGTAGTTTAAGCGAGCTTGTATCTCTTGCATTTGATGAAAATTCGTGATATTAAAAAGCTCGTATTTACAACATTTACAGTACTGGATACTAAAAAAGCATTTGTATTCTATTATACAATTCTACATTGTATCACATTATTACTGTGACACAATTTAATTGTATTTAGTATTACGGAGGAATAAAAATACGTCTATCTGTTTTGCGACGCCGATTTCGTGTTCATTAACAGCGCAGCACTTAGGAAACACGAGAGTCGAATACCTTGTTACATAGAATCAGCGTTATTTATTCGCCGAGCGATCCAATTTAGCAAGTTGAGCAAGGTCGAATCTCTTGATATGAGAGGAACGTAAAAAGCTAGTAACGGTCCAGCCCGGTCCTCCCGCCCGATAATCGATTTCGTGTGTCGTCATTCAGATTCCCTCGGCGGGTATTTGTTATGCCGAACGATCCGAAGGGTCCCGTGGGTTTCTTAATAACAGACGGTAGGCTCTCTTCATTGAATTCGTCTTGATACCTTTATCCTGCGGAATCCATGTCAGGCGAAGCATATAGAATAAATTTCTTTCCTTTGCCGACCGCATATATTCGATCCTGTTCGACTCAGTCTACCGACAAACATGATCGTCGAGGAAACGGCGCGGCGTTGTGTCCTTCTCTTACGCTACATCCACTTTTGATCGGAAATCGATATGGAGAAAATTATGATAACATCTTCTGTGTTAATATGTAAACAGGTTGCGATTATGGCGCGCGAATTTGGTAAATGGACAATGAATATTCGAAGAAAAATAGATTTATATTATTTAAATAATTTTGCTACAAATTCTAATAGGTATCTATATCTTATCTCATTTTTAAGAAAATTTTAAAATAATAATGTTTTTTCATTAAATTGTTGATACTATATTCTGGTATAGCAAATCTCTCAGTCTAGTGCTATTCAATGGAATTAGATTCGCGATCATAAACCGCGCTTTTGGATCAGCAAGACACAAAAAAAAAACAATTTTACTGCTATGGATAATTTTCTCATCGCGGAGTTTTGAAACTCATGGCGGAGATGCGTTATCGTTTCGCGTTGTAGCAGATAACCAATGCAACAATGGGGGCTGCGCAACGGCTTGTAAAACGACTGAAAAAAACAGTACATTCGTCATCTATGGTTTGCCGAGTCATCGACATTTTTGGACGCGCGGCGATGGGATGAAATCGAAAAGTCAAAGCAAGCGCCGCAAACGCGCACAAAAAACGGAAAGCCGATAGATTTCCGCGATTGCAGTTTTGACGCGCTTATCTAGTTGAATATTATGAAAGTCTGTTACAACGAAAAAGCTGCCTTTTCATCAATTTGACATATGACATGCAGTCCAACTTCATTTATGTCGAATTTCGCATAAATTGTAAAAGCAAGTAGATCCTATCACGTATATTTTGAAATGTAAAAAAAATACTTTAATTGATAGAGATATTATAAATCGATGAAAAGTCCGTATACGGGCTCTTTTCATCATTTTCTCTTTTAAACTTGACGCGCGACGAGTATAAAACATATTGTAAAATGTCTCTTATTTTAATTTTAATTTTTTAATTATAATAAATAATTTATATAATTTTTTACATACATAAATAACAAATTATAAATAAGCAAACAATATTTTTCTAATAATCTGTTGAAATCGTGTACATTGACGGAAAAAAATCTGCAATACAGATAATCGCGCTACTTTTGTATGATAATCAGTAACGAATAAAGAGCAAAGGTTTCGGTGAAAGTGACACAGATATAATTTCATGTCACATGACTTTTATTACGTGCATGAGTTGGTCGTAAATTCGACGAATTCGGCATCGTAAAGTTTCTCGTGTCAGTTTAGTTACGGCGGGAAAATCCTACTGCTCGCGTCTCTTCGACCATATTTTTACTCGCCCATCGTTAGTCGAGCGATAAATCGCGGGCGTGTGCCGCTCCGAGACTGAAATCCGGTACGGGCAGTCTTTCAAGTATCAAGCGGGCACGCGAGCGCGCTCCTCGCAACGCAAAGAGCGATCGTCGAATCGTCAAATCGACAAGCTGATCCGCGACAGCGGGCCGTGTTGCACGAAGCGGAAAACGACACGGGGCATTATTATTCGCGCGCTTGTTCCTCGAAGCGTTACGTCAATCCCGATTTAGTCGTCCCGTACAAACCGTACAAGAGCGCGCCCCGTATACTCGTGCCGACGTACAACACACGTACGCGTGTGTACACATACGTGGCTGCCGCGGATACGCCGCGTCTCCACACACGAGTATACGAGCACGTTGTACAAGCGCACGGGCACGCGTGTATACACATTAAAGGGCGGATATATCGGTTTTCCAGTCACGACTAATTTACCGCGCCATCGGGCGATTTATATTTCGGTGGAATCTATTGCACCGACAAAAAACCAATAACCCGGGACATTCAGTTATTCCGACTGATGTATTATTATCGGCGAATAATCGGCGGACAGTCCAGCTCGCGGTTCACTGCACCCGGCGATATTTACGTTTTCCATCAACGCCAAGATCTCAACTGCACAACGCGCTTTTACGGTCGTGCCATCTCTTTTTTCCCCCCCAACGTCGTCATTTTCGTATACTCCTTTCTACGGCGCGGCCGCGGCGGTCGCGCAAAATTCCTTTCAACCGACGCGACGTGCCTGACAGTAGACAAAGTTAAGCGACATACTTTCCGAGAATTCGCATAACCGGGATTCATGATAGTGTAATTTTGTTGTTGCGCTTCCAGACGTACAAGATGTTTCTCTTCACCTCCCCTTTTTCAGCTTAGCTTCTACGTTTAACTTTAGAAAGTAGATTTAATGAAATTGGAGCATATGTATTGCCATCATTTTTGGTGGTACATAATATATTGTTACCTTTTATGAATATAATAAAACAATTTATGAGAATAATTTTTGCGTAGGGATAAAAAAAACAGAGAGAAAGTATATTAACTAAAATTTTCTTGTTTAATATTATTTTTTCAAGCTTGATACAAAGAGACAGAGAAAAGAATTTCAAACGAAAAGACAAGTAGTAAATATTAAGTAATAATAACATAAATAGTTAATCATTTATTTCAAAATTACAATTTTTTTATTGTGTACTTTTATAATGCAAAGAATTATGTAAGCATTTATTTATTGTTTGCACAAAATATTCATAAAGTAAAATATGTCGAAGATGCTCTGTTATTATCAAACCCTTCGATTCTAATTAGTCGTCTATGTATCTGCCATTTGCCGCAGAGAGGTTTAATATATGCGTGTTCTAATATAATCTGATTGCGTCTCCATTATTGGTTAGGATTCTCCAGCTAACTCAAATTTCTGAATAGCATGAACCCGCAAACGCCGCGCGACTGAAGATGTGACACTGCTCGATATCGATGTCTTCGTAGGAAGGCATGCCAAGGGGGGAGGGGTTAAATTCCGTAGCCGCTGCGGTACGACTTCGCGGTGACGGAGAAGACTGGATAATCCGTCTTGAGAACCTTCAAGTTCAATCGAAAGATACGGAAGATGTGACGCGTTTATTCCGCGAATGTGGTGGATGTGACTTTTAGCCCCGACAGCGTGATGGAGCTTTAATGTCATATAGGATCTCGGAGGAAGCCAGCAAAACTGACACACGGCTCCTCTTACTTTTTGTGCGG